AGAAGAAAGCTTAAGCTTACCTAAGATTTTCACTAGTCATCATCATATTCAACGAAAGTCGACTATGACAGCAGCCAGCCCTGCAACAGAAGTGAGATTCTAGCCATGAGTTTATATACTTTTTAGCATCTACGCAATCTGAATAGCCTTGCTCTTTTGCGTATAAGTTTTTTCCCCATCACAGTGACTAAGTTAGTGTAAAATAATGGTACAGGGGGATTCTTATCTTGGTTTTTTAATTAGGAAGAAATTGTATCATGGCTTGCGTAATTGCGTGGGAACAGTGGGTGAATAAGGGAATCTTGGCATGATCACTCACCCAGCTATTCCTATTCATTCGCAGTGAGGACCGAGGATATAAATTAAACAATTAACTTTCCATGGCGCCACTACTGTTTGACAGTTAATTAGCGGTGTGGTTGGAGGCAGGTCCTTTTCATTTTGTATTTGACATTAAGTTGAAGCTGGGAAGAATTTGTTGTTGAGCATGAAAGATACCGCTTTTAAAAGAAAACGTCCGCCATTGGATAACCCTCTCCACAACTTTTCTCACTAGTGCGTTTTCTCATGTCCTTTTCCCTGGAAATTAGGAAGGACGTGCCAACGGGGACCATTTATATAATTACAAAGATTTGTTATAAATCAGAATTGGAATTCTAATAGCAGTATAAAAAAATCACCAGGTTTATGAAAATTTTAACGAAACAAATGTTATTGATATATATGACATCCATATATATGTATAGCATAAGCATAAGCATTAAATTTGAATAAATTTAACTTTATTATTTAATATATATGACATCCATATATATGTATGTACACACTTTGAAATTTTTATTTTACTTTTTGCAAGATTGATAAAAATGCTTCAAGCAAGCTAATAGAATAAAACAGGCATGATACTTTAAAATTTTTTAAATTATTTAAAAAAATTTAAAATTTTTTATTACGTTTAATCAAATTATTATATTTTTATTTTAAATTAAATAAATTTTTATAATTAATAATTAATTAATTATTAAAAATTAAAATATCACATATTATTTTATACTCATGTGGTACTAATATGATTTATTCTCATATTATAGTAAATGATAATATAATATGATGAAATTATCAAATAATATTTTTAATATCCATGTCAGCATCATTTCACGTACACATAAATTATCATGTAATATTTAAATAAATGATAATTAATTAATTATGAATTATAAATATTTATTTAATATAAAATAAAAATATAAAACTTTAATTAAATATAATAAAAAAATCATAATTCAAACCCTTTTTAAAAAACTATGTGAATAAAATAATACTACAATCAAAAAGACCAAGAAACATTCAAGATAAGAGTGACAGAATATCATTAATCCTTATTACGCTATCCCGCTTGCCAAACAGAACTCATGGACCCACCAAACAAGCACCGCTTGCTCTAGTATGTCACGCTCATCTCTCAACGCTTTTTATCTTTCCTTCTTCCTTCACCGTTCTTCCAATTCTTTCCGAAACGGAGAAAACATTCTTTTGTATCTATTTCCGTACTATGTATAAATTCGGCATTCAAATTCGATGCCCTTTCTAGCAAGGAAACAAAACTTTCCATGGAACTGGACTCCTCTGAGAACTCCAACTGGCTTATTGACTACGGCATACCTGACTTCCCGCCTCCAGCTGCCGGCTTTGGGTGGCCCCCGCAAACTATTCTCGTTGCTCGCTCTAATCTAAGGTTTGAAATTTTCTGTTTGGTTCCGAGGAAGAGAAAGAAAAATAGAAAGTACAGAAATTGTCAGGGAATTAGATATGGCGGCAAGTTTGTTGAGTTTATAGAGGTGCAATTTTGGTGGAAAATATTAGTCCACTAGTATTCTGCTGTTTGCTTTATTGATTGTTTGATGCAAGTTTGATATAGTTCTTTCTATTTTTAGCTTTAAATTATAAGTAATAGTTATCAGTTTGAAGCAATGATTTTTTTCTCCTAATTGTTGTTTATAAAGGTGCTGCTTTGAATTAGTTGATAACTTATGAAATAGTAGTAAGTTGATTCAAGGTGAAAGATTTGCACTGAGAATGAGTACTGACTAAAAATTAATGTTTTGGAGAACACGAATGGCGGTTATTGTTTTCATATTGTGGTAAGATATCTCTTGACATGCCACTGCTATTTATTTTTCAGTGCTGCAGTTGATTGTTCATTTACTGATTCAGATAGCTTGAAGGAAGTTGCCTCTAGGAAAAGGTGATTATCATGTTCCGTCTTTGTTCACTAGAAATTGTAAACTATATGAAGACCCTTGTTGTACAACACCTTCTTGGTATGTTTGTTGATAAAGAGGGTAAAAACGTGTCCCTAATGAATGTTCTCTGTAGGTTGAAGTCTGAATCATGTTATGCATCTGGATCAAAATCATGCCGGGAGAAATTGCGCAGGAATAAGCTGAATGATAGGCATGATTCTTTTCTTTATTTTTTATGTCCTCCGGTGTTCTTGAGTTTTGTTTCTCACGTCAGAGTTGGTTAAATTTCAAGGTTCCTGGAACTGGGTGCCATCTTGGAGCCTGGAAGGCCACCCAAAGCAGACAAGGTTGCTGTTTTAATTGATGCTGTAAAAATGGTGCGTCAGTTACGCAGTGAAGCCCTGAAGTTGAAAGAATCAAATGAGGAGTTGCAAGCAAAAATTAAAGAATTGAAGGTACAGCTTGTTCCTCAAAAGAAAAAAGGAAGATCAGATTGAATATTTTTAACTTACCATTTTGGAAGATAGACTTCAATTCCCCATATGCTTCTTCTTATGCGTTTACAAAGAATAAGAATAGTCATTGTTGCGCATTTTCAAAGAAAAATGCTTCTTTTTAAGCATATTCCTTTTGCCTAAATAATAAAGATGGTTGTATAGCAGTTAGTGATTTTCTATGCTTGGGGGCATGTTAATCCATGCAGGCTGAGAAGAATGAGCTTCGTGATGAGAAGCAGAGGCTGAAAGCAGACAAAGAGAAGTTGGAGCTGCAAGTTAATGCCATGAGCACACGACCAGGCTTCCTGCCTCTCCCCTCTTCAATGGCAGCTGCATTTGCTTCTCAAGGGCAAGCTGCTGGCAACAAGTTGATGCCTTACATTGGATTTCCTGGTGTTGCCATGTGGCAATTCATGCCACCTGCTGCAGTTGACACATCACAGGATCATGTACTTCGCCCTCCAGTTGCTTAATTTGAAGGATGATGATGGTTTGGTTCTTACTGCCGGTCTCTTTATGATTGCTTGTTTACTTTATATTCTTATGATCTTTGCTGTTTGTTATAATGTTTTGTGTGAATGTCCAGTAGTTGATTAGCTGGACATGCTGTCTAGAAACTAGCAATTTCTGTGGATTTCTGCTACTCCTAATGTAAAATACGATGATTTATAAATTTTAACTAGCTGAGTCACATATGAGTCTGCAACAATGGTTTATTTATTATCTTCCCATGAGCTACAGTTTCTTGTGTTTTGGAATGTTTTCCCAATATTGTTGTTTCTGGGAAAATTATAGAAATCCTTGTTTTCATTATTTCTCGTCATAAATTGACTCATAAATTGGGTTTAACTGCTCCTAGCTGTGCCCAATAACAATGTTGTTTGCAAAATTATGCAGTATAAGAATCCATTTCACAAATAAGCCAGACAATTGAGTATTACAAAGTAGAGTCTAGAGAACAGAAAAATTTTCAAACAGATAAAACCATTTGAAGATTCTTTCAAAGAAAAGAACTTCCAGAGGCTTAAAGGGCCAAAAGCATCATCAGCACAAGGCCAAATCCCAATGTGAGGCTTGTCTGGAAACTGCCCCTGTCAGCTGATGAGGTAGATGGTCGTGGTGAAAGGCCACTGGGAGAAGGAGAGGTTCCAGGAGATCCAGTTGAAGGAACATCAGGGGATGATGGGGTGCCAGGAGCTGACTTTGGGGATTTTGCTGGTGAGGGAGAAGTTTCTGGAGCAGGAGAAGCAGCTGGTGGAGTTGAAGGAGATGTTACTGGTGGTGTAGATGTTGCTAGGGTGTCTATTTCAATCTGCATTCCTTGGCTACAGTGTCCGGCGGTTCCACAGATGAAGTATCGCTTTCCTGGAGAAGAGAGAGATATGACTGTGTTGCCATTGTTATACGTCTGAATTGGGCTACTTGTCTGGCAGGAGTCATAGTCTGTCTTTCCAACTTCAAGCACATCATGGTTTGGAGTGTACTGGAAAACTGCAGATAATAGGTATGTCAATTTAAAACTCATTCTTGATGCGGACGGTTCAAAAAATAAAGGAATAAAGCAACATGTTTTGAGCAATTGTGCTTGCCAGTGTTGATATCATGAAAGAGACGAGCGTGATAATATATAGGTATATTGATATGTGCATACAACTTACTGAGATTATCGCCTACTACAAATTTTTGGGATGCAACCCAAGTTTGCAGGTCAGTGCTTGAATCCCAGCTTCCACTTGGACCTCCAACTGTGTGATTTGCTGCCATGGCTAACTGAATGAGCATGGCTGTGGCAGCCAAACCTACCAATGTCCTCAGCACTGCCATTTTCCTGGCTATGAAAGAAGTAATTTGAATAAAATCGAAGTATCAAACAGATCCAATGTGGCCTTGGAGAAAAGATCAATTTGTTTTAGTTTGTATTAGGAATTCTATATATAGAGCAAAACGAAGACCAGGAAAATGCACTTTCAGAAAGAGAAGATTAGTTTATTGGAGTTGGTTTAATGAACATGCAGACTAGCAATGCGCCAATGCCAGCTTGGTTTTTCAAGGATACCAAATTCCTTTTCTTACTTATTTTTTTGTTTAAAAATAATTATTTCCTTTTCTTCTTCCAACTTAACCATTTTCTTTTGGATATGGGAGGATTACTGTCTGTATTAACAATATTCTGCCGTCAACTAATCGCTGTTGATTGCTTTATGCATAGCTAACTACCAATCAGCAATGCACGCCTCATTTGACTCAGGCATACAGAAACTTCCCGAGAGCAAAAACATAATAATAATGTATAAGATAAGCTTGATGTATTCTAATGCTCAGTGCCCGACCCAAAAAGTCAAAAGTCGGATTAGAGAGGCAGCGATTCGTGGCTTCCATGTGAAAGAAGGATATGACTCTTTCCTTACCTCGAGGCGCACCTAATCCTCAGAAACCCAACCCAACAATGCCCGAAAGACATGGATGAAGGAAGAAACGGTTTCGAACTGCCCCGAAAACGGAAGCTTTGGTTTTGTTAATTTGCTTTATTTTATTTCTATAGAAATGTCGAGAATCCTATTTGTTGCAACTACCACACGCGTCGTGGAAGAATGAAGTGTTATATTATTATTTTCCTTTAGGGGAAAAGAAGATGAGAGAAGTGAGAGGAAATTAGAGCTGGAAGTTTCACTCGGATGGAATCATAGTAATCTTTCCTCACCAGGTTGCAAGTTCAAATTTTCAAAAATGCCCTTTTACGACAGAGTTGAGAAAAGTTATAACAGTAATTCATCCAATTACTTTGGTCTTGCATTCTTTGTTAACACCATCTTCTCATAATTGCCTTTATAAAAATAATGAGACAATCATCACCTTCCATCAGATGAAGCCACTGTCATTGGCCAAGTCCAATCTACTAATAAGGATTGAAAAATATATGATGTACAGCTGAAATGGCATTGAACTGATCGTGTTGGCCATTTTGTTGAAGTTCTGGATTCAAGTCCAAACTCCTTCCCCAAGATTTTTACTTGATTAATATGATAAACACAAACACAAGGAAATGGGGTTCAAGGCTAAACATTGGTACAACTCATAAATTAAATTACCAGTCCAGAAGGAATTACTAATGCGTTGTACCATTACGAAATTTGAAGAGAAAAAGGAAAGTGCAAGGGCAATGGGCTGGCAGGACATCGCTCGCCTTGCGTGTAACGCGGATCCCAAACTGTACAAGATTAATCATCAGAGTTGACCTTTTCTTTAAATAGATACCTGTTGTTTGTTAGCAAGAAGCTGGAGTGGAATAATCCTAATTCATTTATGCTTTATGTTTCAGTTGACAATCAAGGGATACAGGTGAAAAACGAATGTGACTGCTCTCTTTTGTATTCTTTCTCTTTTTCGTTCTTAATTGTTTGTGGTGTTTATATTTGATTAAATTATGTAATTAATCCTTGTATTAGGTAAAAATTATAATTTTTGTCTTTATATAATAATTTGCATAAATTAAATATTTATATTTTATCAATTTATTAATTTCAATTCATATTTCTAATATCGTTAAATTTCACCATTAAACATATTGATGTGACATTTTGATCAAACTCAAGTGATATTAATAAAGATGACATAGCAAAATGCTTACTTAATAAAAAAATGCAAACTCCCCATGTGAGTTTAATAAAGAAATTAAAAGCAAAATACTCTAACCCTAAATTAAGAATTAAATGAGATTACAACAAAGTCTTTATATCAATCAGTTGAATTTTCAACAAAAAATTACTGATTTAAAACTAGTGGAATCTTCAAGAAGAAAACCTATTATTTTCCCTACCTTCAATTCCAAATTCAAAAGCCGTTTTTTTCTTAAAAAAAAAAAATCAAAATTTGAGATACATTTCATTGTTTGAAGATAACTCTTACAAGTTACATCGGCTTTTATATCCATCTAAAATTGAAAAATTAGCAGAATGTTCTCGGACACTTGGTTTTATCTACCAATGTAGGGTAAACCTTTAGCACGGGCTTTATTAGATTATTGGCTCTAGCTCTGCACAGAGCTATCTTAAGCATTTATATACAAGAAAAATTCTTTGATACCTTAGCTTGTCAAGTTAAAGACCCGTAGAACTGTACAAACCCATATTCCCGCATCATCTCTTGCAGTCACGGGGTGGCACTCTTGTTTGGATATTTGGCAACTGGCAGGCCATCAATCAAGATTTGAATTCCCAGATTGCCTTCTCAAAGTTAATGTCCCAAAATAAGATTCCTTCTCTCATTTTCGCATTTGTGGCATGTCTCCCATCGGGTGAAAGCTGGAATATTTAGCTAAAATATATTTTAATCCTTGAATTAGCTTAAGTGAGTAAGCTTAGCCTGAGATGCACTCTTTTGGATTGCTATCCACCGGTCGTCATCTTCATCGGTCATGTTTTTCATGTCATTAAGCATCAATGAAGTTGATTCTCCCTCTTTTGCGATAGATTTTTTTTCTTTCTCTCTTAATGTTTTTTTTTTTAAAGTTCTTAATCATTTTTTGTTAATCTTATTTATTTTTTAATATAGGTTTAAGGTGTTTTTTTTTTAAATTTCTTTGTTAAGCTTATGTGGAGAGTTTACATTTTTTACTAGGTAAATGTTTTGCGATCTTTATTAGTGTCATGTCAACTTGGTCAAAATACCAGATCAATATATTTAACAGTCAAATTTAACGATGTTAAAGTTAAAAAATGAAATTAATAAATTGACAAAGTATAGAGACCCAATTAACACAAATTATTATACAATTACTAAATTTATACTTTTTGCATAGTACATGGATTAATTTCATAATTTAACTTTATATTTACATGCACCATTTCCCTTCTAATCATGAAGCAGTCAAATCTACTAGCTTTTCATGTTATGCAGGCGTAACTTTAAAATCATAGTTTAAGTATATATAATGCATGATACTTAAAATTTTTTTTAAATAATTTATAAAAATTTAAATAAAATTTTATTATTTTATTATATTTAATCAAACCTTTATATTAATGATGGTGTTTGTACTTACATGGCATATTAAAATGACATAATGATGATGATAAGATATATTGATCTTGCATGATGACAATCAATGTTGAATAGTTCAAGGTTTTTTTTTTCTGTTAAATATATGAGAATAAAACTTATAGTAAGATCACTGTATCATTTTAGGTCAAACAAAGCCTAAAATGTTTGCAAATAAAAGAGAATAGATATTAGATGGAAAAGAATCAAACACATGTAAACTCAAACAGGGGTAAAGTTAGCCAATTTTTATTGCGAGGAGCTAAAGGTTAAAAAGAATAAAAGTTAAAAATTTTAAAACTAATATATTGAACTTAACTATTAATAATCAAAATATTTATAATAGATAATAATTTTATATAACATGTAAATGAAAAAAAATAAAAAGAAAAAAAAACGTATAATAGTGTTTTAGAAAAGTTTTGTTCAACAATGGTAATATCTTTTTTAATATAAACAACTAAATTATTTATAAGAAACTTATCATCCATTTTATTTTGAAGTCTTGTCTTTCTCAATATAAACGACTAAAAAATTAATATAGTCAATATTTAATATACTTATTTTATTATATTTAAATTTATAATACTAAATATTAAACTATAATGGATAAAATATAAATAATTAAATACGATATATAGAATTAATAATTTCTTCTTAAACTCAAAATAATTTCCTTTCAACTAAATATAAAAAGTAAAATACATTAAAAACATATACTCAAGATAATTTTTTCTTATATAATTAGGATTAATAAAAAATAATATTAGTGAAATTTTAAACAATAACCAATAACTCAAAACTAGAACTTATATATTTAAGAATTACATATGTAATAATTTTTTAATTTTTAAAAATTAAAATAATTAATAATAAAATCCACATGACAAAAAAAAAA